GGGGGGAAGGGGGGGGGGGGTGATGTCACGGGGTACCGCGGAGGAGGGGGTTTGACGTCACGCGGGGGGATAATATCACGGGTGGAGAGGCATACCGACATTATCGACAATCGGTAATTTATTATCGATAGTACATACTAACATTCAATTACATAATTCTTTTTACTAATATTTAATTACATAATTTTTACCGACATATTTACATAATACCGATGATCGGTAGTTCCCGATATTATGTACTAACATTCAATTACATAATTTTTTACAAACATTTAATTACATAATTTTTACCAATATATTTACATAATACCGATGATCAGTAGTTACCGATATTATATACCAACATTCAATTACATAATTTTTAACCAGTATTTAATTATTTCATGTTTTTTTACCAGAATATTTACATAATACCGATGATCTGTAATAACCGATATTATATATCGATATGTTTATATAATTTTTTCAATCTTCTTTCGATAGATCATTTTATCCATTCGCGGCAGATTTATCGCGGCGGTTTGCGGCGGTTTTTGCGACGGATTTTGCGGCGGTTTTTGTGACGGATTTTGCGACAGCTCGCGTTACCCGCGCCGTCTGCGCCGCCCGTACCACCCGCGCCGTTCGCGCGTATTTCGCGACGGAAAATATTTTTAGTCGCAGCTGAAAAATCAAACATTTTGCAAACGTATTAAATATTACTGCACGATGACATATTGCAAACGCATGCATTCGACAGTTAGATGCGCAAGAAGAAGAATGTGATATATGATATACTTATTACTAATCAGCACGTACACTTGCGGAGTCGTCAAATGAGCCGCACTGGGATTCACAATGACGTCAGTAGCCCCTTTTGCCGATGGATTCCACGTCCATAAACTCACCAATGAGGCAACCTGTATATCTATCTGTATATCTAGTAACCTTGCGACGCGATAACACAATCGTCCGCGTCCCGCGCACCGCGCATGGCCTCTCGCGAACCATCACCTAAACAAAGTCTCTGGCAGATTGTACACAAATCGACGAAAACCAACGGCGTCGACACTCAACATAGGATTTAATGTACACCGTTAGCTGATTTTAAATATACGATTCAATTTAATTATTAAATCGATTGTTTTCAAAGTTATTCCGCCTCCTACGAATCCGAATCGTCGAACGATCCGGAACGCGACGCATCGCGGTTACAACCGTTTCGGCAACCGTTTTTAGCTGTTCTTTACCGTTTCTGTAGCCGTTCTTTACTGTTTCTGTAACCGTTTTTACCGTTTCGGTAGTCGTTCTATGCCGTTTCTTTACTGTTTAAAGCGTTTTTACAAAATGTACTAAAGATATTCAACTGGTGGTCTCGGTGCCAGAGAATTGTTCAACTTTTATCATCGCTCTAGTTTCGCGGATCGTTAGCGGCATGGTATCTGAGCACAGCATAGCTGCATTGTGCTGGATGTATCTTTTTTATTAATTAAGCTCTGGATTGGGTGGAGGGAATCCCACGTGGTCCCTCTCTATCTGCAAAAGGTGGTAAGGGATTATTTCAGGGACAGAGACCTTGCCTACACCATCAAGGGCGGGGTTCCGCGCCAAAAGGTTGTTCACTATGGCGTCACATAGGGATCTGTGCTGGGCCCTCTTATGTGGGACGTCGTATAAAGTGCTCCGCACGCTGCTCCACGTCGGCTGTCACGTCATCTGCTACGCGGATGACAGGCTCGTGATGGCCAAGGGGAACACATCGGATGAGGCCACGGCCCTCGCCGAGATCGCGGTGGCGAGCGTAGTCCAGACTATCAAGAGTCTGGAACTTAAGGTGGCGCTCTACAAAACGGAGATGATGTTTCTCCATAATGGGAAACAGAGGGCGCCGCTATCGATCGGGCTTTTGGTGGATAGAGTCTCCGTCAAATTGGCTCGAATGAAGTAACTGGGCTTCCTACTGGATAGCCGATAGAGGTTCGCCGCTCACTTTGAGCATGCAGCCTCTAAGGTTTCGCGGATGAGCAACACCCTCGCGGGTCTGATGCGAAACCTTAGATGCCCTAGTTGGAAGATCCGCCGCCTCTATGTCAATGTAGTGGCATCTGTAGTCCTTTATGGGGCGTCCATTTGGGCGGGCGCCTTGCGGGCCTCTGGCCGCGCAACAAATCTCTTTTGGAGAGCTATGCGGCCGGTGGTCCTGAGGGCCACGAGATGCTACCAGATAACTAGTTACGAGGCGACGGCGATCCTAGCCGGGACCCCTCCCCTGGAGATCCTCGCCGAGCAGTACGAAGATTCGTACAAACGCTTGACGAGGTTCCGGGCTAGAGGGGTTCAGGTGACGACCAGGATCAAAGTAGTAGCGGACCTCAAGGCGCGGGGCCGAGCGATGGCCCGGTGGACCGAATATTTGTCGGTTCCCGGACTGTGTGGTGCCCGCACCATAGAGGCCATCCGGTCCTGCCTGCTCGATTGGGCGGGCAGGAGAGTACATGGACTGACCTTCTGGTTGGCGCAGATGCTTACCGGCTATGGCTGCTTTGGTGAGTACCTGTACCGTATCAACCAGGAGGCCACGACGCGCTGCCACCACTGCGGTCATGATCGGGACACAGCGCAGCATACGCTGGAAGACTATCCGGCGTGGGCTGAAGAACTCCTGACCACCAAACACGGGGGACTCTGTTGCTTCCCGCCAACGTGTCCAAGGGAGTGAAGAAGCCTTTAAGGCGATGGGCTCCTTCTGCGAGAGTCCTCTCGCAAGAGGAGACGGCAGAGCGGATTTGTCGGGAGCCCCATCTGACGGGAATAACTTCGCCCTGCGGAAGACGCGCTAAGGGACAGGCGCACATATCTTTGGACTCATCCCGCGTTTGGGTGGGGCGTGCTGGTCGAGGGCAACAAATCCCCGGCGACTCGCCCATACCGACAATGGAGGGCACG